TATATATATATATATATATATATACAGTATTCTTTATAGTTTTTCATTCAATTTTACACGACTCTTGTTTACACGACTTTTTCCAACAATTTTCCGGAGTATTTATGGATGATAATTTTTTTGTTCGTGGTATTATATCTGTATTTTGAAAGCCGTCGGGCAAATAGATGACGTTTTAATAGGACACGTGTTAGAATCGAGATAATGTTACATCGTAAAATTAAAATACAAAACAGCCTATTGAAGAAAATGTTAATGGACATATTTAATCAATTAATTTTTTTTGCTAATTGAAATAAAATTGAAGAAAATATTAATTCCAGAAATTTTTAATGCCTAATTATTATATGTATTTCAATTTAAAGACCGGCTAAAAAGTTTTTCTTGTGAAATACGCGAAGATTTAGCGTTATGATATTTTGTGGTTAACGTGATAATGTTAAGAGTGATCTTTCGTTTTGATAATTATCTTATAATACTGCGCGATACGATTTACGTTCGTGCTACATGCTTGTTAGGAATTTCAAAGTAGTTTCCTAGACTATAGTTTACTTGTACCAATTATGGATGTCGAGCCTCGGAGCGTAAACTCCTTTATTATAGAAACTAGCATAGCTTATTGTTATAAAATACATATGCAATCTTGTTGTATACAACAGCCAATCTTCGCGCACGTATGTAGCTTTCTGTTTATCGAATTACCCAATATTGTCTTTAAATTATCAATAAATCCACTTTATCGTCTTATTATTCGAAATTTTCATACCAACGATTGTTTCATAATCTAACGAAATGATAATTATACAGATACGATATCGCTATGTTGATAGAAAAATAATAAATCTCAAAATTAGCAACTTCTCAGTAGAGCATTTTTAAACTAAATTAAAATTAAAATTAGGATTGTGAATATGCATTTCTGTGACTCTTTCTTTTCATGTTATGCTTTCAAATATAATGTATTTTTTAAAGCTATGTTATAATTACAAATATATTATTAACAATCGCGGAGACTCGTGTAGGCAATTTATTTATACTTGATTTATTTTTGAAGCTACCAAACTATTTTTATTTTAAAATGTTTCTTAACTTAAAGGATTATCATTTCTCTTTTGATATTTGATATTTGATATTATAACGTTTCTTGGCTAGCGATTTGACGTTCGCTTGGAATGGTTACCGCACAACACCGAAATGCGCAATGTCCGATCATCCAGACAAGGAATGGCGCTGTCAGGATGGTTGAATCGGTCTTGTAGATCCGTCGGAATTCGAACCTCGTCATTAATTGGGAGGACGACGCCGTCTAGCGGTTCTCCCGGTTACGCCACCCTGACGAGGATTGACCCATTTTCTCACGAAGCTCCTTCCGCGCGGAATCCACGTTCAAACTTTCCTCCATCGTTAAGCCTCATGTGACTAGGACTCGCCGAAATTGATTGTGACCCAGGGAGCACGTTCATTTAGAGAGAACGATGAGAGGCCGTAGTCGTCGGTGAGCTCGTATTTAATCAAGTCGAGAGCAACGCCGGACAAACGAGATAGCGTGAGACGCTTTTGCAATCCGGAAACAAACGTTCCGAACGTGAACACTGAATGTTCACATACGCGTTTCGCGAGTCTATCGCCTGTTTCGCGAGAATTACTGTGAAAATGACCCGTACTTGCTGTGAAATTG